TTAGCAATTCATTATAGTGACAAATTAAAATTTTAAAAGACTTTTTTAATAATAATGAAACTATCAATGTTCATTTCAAGTGTTAAATTATGAAGATACACATAGAAAAGTAACTGTTAGCATGTGTTCATCAACAGAGGTTCCTATTTTCCTTCGGAAAATTACTTTCATTTTCTATCTCTTACATATAATAGCTATGTTATATTTTGTTGTGTATGTACGAGTATGTATACGAAGTCTATCTTCAGATATTGTGAACAGAAGCGTATATGAAAGAATAAATGCATATAAAATATTTCAAAATTTGAACGCGAGGTAATTTTCCAAACTTATATAAAAAAAATTTTGGTTATTTAACGATAAGTCGGTCCAATTCCAACCTATTTCATTCATTCAGATATAGTTTTGTAGGGAATTTAATAAGCTATAATGTCATGTAAATCATAAAACTTTTGGACGTTTAAAGAGTTTTAAGGTTGAAGAGCTAAAAAGGTCTCATTCAATCACATCTCATTCAATTTTTGAGCTATATAAATTAAATCATAATCAAAATATAAACTACATTTTAGTTAAAACTTTTTTCGTAAATGAATTCCTTTCATTAAAGCTCATTTTTAAGGTCTAATAAAGTCAAATCTTGAGTTCTTTTGCTATTTGATGTTGAAATTATTAGAAAAATTTATAGCAAAAAAAATTGCTTTCAATAAGTCATAAGTCGCTTTGTATGAGCCGTAGCATTAAACAAAACCAAATATTTGTTTGTTTTTTATATATTTTAATTTTGATACTAATATGTTTTCCCAAAAAAGTTTTTTTTAGATAACTCAACAAATTTTCATAGATAACTCAAAAAAAAAACTTTTTTGAGTTATCCATGAAAATTTGTTAAAAACCTGCTTCTTTTAGACATTTTCAAACGCGAATAACTTAGAAATTAAAAGTTATCGGAAAATCTTTATCTTGTGGTCAAAATAAGTTTATCTTTCGAATACTGGGTTATTTTTAATATTTTTATTTTCACCCCTGAAATAGGGTGGCACTCAGTCAGGTTTGTTATTTGTATATGTTAGAACTACTGTCCAAATTAATATTTTTTAGAAAACAGGTGAATCCGTTCAATGACTGGACCAAATTTTTTCAATTAAATTAAACCTAAAAGCTGCATTTTATCAAATTAAACGGTTCCCTAAACGGAACACGTGGGTGAAGCCGCTAGCGGAAAATATATTATTTGCTTTAGTTAATTTAATTGTTATTAGGATTTAAACGACTTTTAACAGGACTTTAGCTAAATTTAGTTTGTGCAACAGAATTGTTACCATTATCCGATCAAAATTGAGTCAACACGCCCAAATTTGTTGTTCTATTCTGTCATTGTCAATGTGTTTTAAGCGGTTAGTGGTTTAAACGTGGTTTAAACCAATACACCTACTAACTTTAGTCCTCGTTTTACAATAATAAGGAAGATGACTAGAATTGGGTCAAATGCAAATAGACTGTGTTATCTTTATGATATATCAAAACGACCGTCCTCCTTTTCTGATTTTCAAATATCATGGAAGCATAAAAGAGACGAAAGATAGAAATGTAATTTTCAGAGTGTCTTTCTTGAGAATAAGTATATTAAAACACTAATCTCTTCGCTGTATTGAAACTTCAAATGACTGAAAATATTATTTTAATGAAACTCTACAATGTAATTTAAAATACAGTTTAATATTTTTCCACACAGTAGCATATGATCGTAATCACAACAAAATTTACATGGAGAAATGCTATTCACTGTATTTAGAAGAATTTTAAATGCCAATGAATGCAAAATGTAAAATCTCTTTGTTTGAATCAAATGTTGAATTATCTGACTTAATTAATATGTCGCAGAATATCTCCATCATCGTTACGAAGATCGTTTGATTTAGTTTCTTTTTTTTATTGCTATTTACTCAATTACTTAATGAGGGCGTGATCAAGTCATCGATACTTTTATCGATGACTTTGACAGTTCATTAACGAAATGCAAGTTGCCGCCATTTTGGCAGACATTCTGTTTCCGATCGCCGAAGAGTAAAGACATCCGACGACATCACGCTCATCTCGTTATATTTTCCTATGAAAAATGATAAAATGGAATAAGTCCACATTGGTATACACGCCTGCAGTGTTATTTTAAAGATAGTCCTCCGATATGGACGATCTATTTGGGCTTCGTAATAGCCCCTTCTGACTACCCGCCGACAAATAACATAACTTATTTAAACTTATACCACAATTGACTACGAGTAACTTATGCGTACCAAATAATTTTCGATTATAAAAAGTCCCTGAGGTTTTATTAGAAACTAACTTTTCGTGTTTAAAAGGACATTTTAATAGTCATTGTTAAGTAGTTACTGAGTATTCATCATATAAAAACAATAAACATTTCACTATACCCTTTTTACAAAAAAAAATGTAATTTTCTGTAAAAAGAAAAGCGTTAAAGGAAAAAAAAGACGCATTTTAAAAATCAATTGATATAAATAAAAAATGTAAAAGATAAATAAATGATCACTTACTTTAAAGTTTTGTATTCTATTGATATCATCAATTATAATCATTTAAGAAAACCTGCTAATTATTTTATATTCGAATTTCCGCCTAAAACTTATTAATATTTTATTTTCGAAGAGTATTAAAATATAAAGAACTATGAGTACCAAACTTTACCATTTATTTAAATTAAGAACATAAAAAAGTACTTGTGCAAGTAACAAATGCACATTCATTGGAAAATCACAAAATTATCAACAATGGGGCTCGTCCGGGATTTGAACCCGGGACCTCTCGCACCCGAAGCGAGAATCATACCCCTAGACCAACGAGCCGTTGTATCGCATTGTTAAAATAGCGTCCTAAATGAAATCGTTGTCTCTATTTATGATATCATCGTTTTCTTTATTTCATACGAAATACACAAAAACGGTTACACATTATTTAACTTTCTTTTTTTAATGTAATTCTATTGATAATGAAAATTAATAAAAAAATTAAAATGTCAAAGCATAGAGTAGGTCATTAAATAAAAAGTGTTCGGAAAAAATGAGCATACTACTTAGTTCTATACTAATCTAGAAGACAGAAGAATATACTTCTGCTGGCCGCTATTACCGATTTAAAATGAAAGATTTAATTTTGTAATGCCAATATACCCCGTAGACCACTTTGCGATACGTTTAATTTTGCCAGATTTACCCCACGTGTAAATATAATTTATAGGAAATAACGGCCAAGAATTGTAAAAGGTGTGAGCTCTACTCGCTAGCCGTTATCTTACACATGCAACAAATGTGATATACATACTCTGTGGTAGTGCCGAGGTGCCACTTCAACTATAAAGCTAATTAGCTCACAGAGACAAGGAGAGCCGGTGATCTTATCGAATAGTATTGAAGCGACACAGCTCTTCGCGTGCGCTATCGCTTCGAAAAAACAAGGCTAGACAATTACAAGTGTATCGAACTTCAAACAGAAATGTAAAAGTATACTTTCTGAAAAAGAAGTGAGAATGAAATGATACGCGAGTGACACCCAGGACACCGCTATAGACAAGGCGGAAAGAAGTGAATGTGGTCGACAGATTTATTGAGTGTAGAAGGTAATTCTGGCAAAATCACCTCGTGTGGTGGTTCCAGGTCATCGTCGGGCGGCGGAGCGTCGGCCGCCCGCCACGCGCGCCCGCTCCTGCCCACAACACCACCGTCACTATCAACACTCTCAACAGTATCCACTTCAGCGCTTCAGGCACACAAACATTGACACTACTTTAGTACAAACATTTAATATAAGCTCCAAGTTGATAACACACTGTATAGCTTTAAGTTTTGTGACAACGGCACAAATCGTATTGAATACTATCACTTATCTGTATCTTATAATTATTTTTTATTTCTAGTTTATAGTTTCAATTTTAACTTTAAGTAAGAATGTAAATAATTTGTAACTTCTTCGTTGTAAATGTATTCAAGTGTCAAATGGGAAAAGGAGTTGTTTATAGGCTATAAATTTGAAACAATGCTTACAAGACAATTGGAATTAGATCGGGGGTGACATTAAATACAAACGTTTATGTCTCCGTAAAGCAATCGATTCCGATATAAAATAAGAGTGTAAGTGTTGGCCGACGGCCAATGAGATGCCCGGTTTGTGAGCGAGTGCCGAGACAAGGGGCTCGTAGAAAACGTTGGGCTATTTTCACTGCGAAATGTAAAAGAGCGGACGAAAACGAACGCTTGACGAGGACTCAGCCTTTGCTTTCGCATTTTAAGGGTGCTTGAGCGTTTAACCGCCTTTAGAGAAGGCGACGTGAAGTAGAGGGATTTACGCTTCGCTCATTAAAACTTTGCCTGATGACGCGAAATTGGTAGATCGATTCTATCTCTGCATATATTTCTGCAACGTCGACGGAGAGTGGTGGCGTTGTTTAGATGAATGTCTAGTCAATGATACGGTGATGATGGTCACCTGTAGGCGTGGTCGTGCGGCGGCAGGCCCAACCCGGAGTCTTCGGAGGGAGAGCGGTGGTCAGCCACAAGGGGCACCTCCGCCGGCCCCTCCTACAACAATAACCCTCAACCTCACCCGATCTACGCGAACTAGCCATAATTACGTATGAATTTTTTTTGAAGTTTTCTATATTTGTAAACCTTTTATATAGAGTAATCTTATTCATTAATGTAACAAACAACCAAATGACAAAAATACGTTTAAATATATTGTGCCAGTACGAATCGAGTGACATATACTCTTTTATATATGTATATAGACGATTGTAACATCCAGGCTCAAGAAGGTTATTTGATAATTATTACGACAACGACACAGGTTAACGTAAAATATAGTATTTTAATTCAACATGTCGAACTTTAGAAAAGCTACAACCACCGAAAGCGAACGTCGAATAACAATCTAACATTGAAACATGCGACATTGATGTAAAGCATGTACCTGATTGGTGCACTTACCGGGTCGTGCAACTCATGCATCGTGGAAGATGGCAGCATGTGCCGTTCACCACCGCGCTACAATCAAATTGCAAGCTACAGCTATCTGCATAATATAAGTCAATTGTGAATTATAAATCCATCGAAGTTAATAAATGTACAAGATTTTCAAAATTTTTGATCTATACTGCTACCATTTTGATCAAAAGTTTTTGCAGTAGTCGAATGAAAGTAGTAATAGATATCGATTTCAATAAAGCTACCTATGTATAAGAAGCATAAGTTAACTGGGATATACCAGTAAAATAATGTTATATATGTATTTTACATGCTTATTATTTAGGTACAGGTTGGAGTGCAAATTACAAGAATAAGTCAAAACGTTTAAATATTTTTTTCTTCAGATATATAAAGATAAATTACTTTATTGTCTTAAGTTTTTCTGGATTTATCGTACTTATTGTAGTTAAATACTCTAATAAGAGAATATGCTTTTCAAAATCCACTAGCACCAGATGCCTGAAATATCAGCTACGATCCTACCGTGAAACTGATGCCATGATTCATATGTCAAAATAAATCCCTAAATAATCATGACAGATCTACAATCAACTAAAGTATCAGCAGAACAATTAGCCTAACGTATTAATGAAGGTTTTATTTTGATAGATCAATCACGCCTTAACTTCATAAGGTATCTGCGCCAGTAACAACTTGCTCGGTCGTCTGGTACTGATGAATTTTAATAACAATATATTCAATAACTAACAATAAGTATAATGTTGTGAATGTGAATTTATTTTAGTGTTCTAAGGGTGTATACTAACTATAATGACATGTGCCCATGAGGTATTATATGTATAAATACAATGAAAAAAATTATCATCGTGTTAGAGTGAATTTTATAATATATGAATTTGGTGGGGATGTCTCGGTGCAATGTAAGAAAGGATGAAGAACTGAATGAAATACCTTAATGTGGTGGTCCGAAGGTTCCTCCCCTCTCCTGTATACGAGCTCGTCGAACCTCGGTCTGTCTTCAGGCAGCATGAATTCTCGAATTTCCGTTAGAAGTGTATACTGCGAAAAGTATTGACTATGATAAACTTATCGCTTATAAGAAACATAATTATAAAATCCCGCCAGGGATACGGCGTGAGGATATATATATATATGTCGCATCATCATTACGAAGATCGTTTGATTTAGTTTCTTTTATTTTAATTGCTAGTTACTCGATTACTTAATTACTCGATTGTAAAGAGAGCGTGATCATCGATACTTTTAATTTTATTAGAATAGTGACACTGACTTTGACTGTTCGTTTATAAAAACCAAGTTGCCGCCATTTTGGCACACATTCTGTTTCCGATCGCCGAGGAGTAAAGACATCAGACGACATCACGCTCATCTCGTTATATTTTCGTAAGAAAAGTGATAAAATGGAACAAATCCATGTTGGTATACACGACTGCAATGTTATTTTAAAGATAGTCCCCTGATATGAATGATCTATTTGGGCTTCGTAAAAGCCCCTTCGGACTACCCGCCGTTATATATATATATGGCCGCTATATGTACTATCCGCCAATCCGTATTGGGCCAGTGTGGAGGGTCATGGCCCATGCTCCTTAACCATCCATAAGGAAGGCCTGAGCCCCTACATGGGGACGAAATAAAGGGCTGATGATGATGATGATATTGGCACTACAGTAGTCTTTTGTATTGATTAATCTTAAAATAATATTAAGAGACGTTGAATCATGAATTTTGTTCAACACATTAAATATACTTCCCGAATTTTGGATTTACTTTCTGATCAAGTATTATACAGCTATGATTATCTCACAAATCATTCATCTTGATCATTTTACAAAGACGATCTACCCAAAGCCAACATTACGCTATTATTCAAAAGACAACCATCATAACATAATATCAAGATACCCCAACCCATGATCCATCAAAAGACGACGCTACATTGTCAAATATATAAATGGAAGGTTCGATGAACAGGATATTACTATAAATATCGCAGGATTGTAATATTGGACGAATGTGTAGAGTACAATCGTGCATGTCGTTCTCTCTGGTACATGCTCAGCCAATAAAGAAGGAGCTACTTCTAATTTTGAAATAGTGCCAAGTGACGTCGTTCGTGTCAATCTTATCTATCGAAGCACTATTCAAAATGACTGTCAGTATTTTCCGATATTACGTACCTACTGTTACATATAAGTGTATTATAGGCATTTAATTTTTAACAAACTATCTGGTTCTGCGTCTTCGCCTGCGTAAATTCTAGCCTATGTCACCGGTAAATGAAGCTTCCTGTAAGTGTAAGAATTGTCATACTTGGATCAATGTTTCTCACGATACAAACAAAGTTAGTTACACTACCTCTTTATAATATTAGTATATAAATAGTTGATCCGGCAAACTCAGGATCAAAGAATTAATTAAAGTTCAAAAAATATTTTTTTTACCCGCGGGGTGCGTCTTATAGGCATGAACAGTTGGTAAGGGAAAGATATTTACTTTTACTATTTTCTTTGAAATTTCTTATTTTTTTCTGACTATTTAACTCCTTTTTTTATAACGTAGGGTAAATGCATCTTAAGCCTTAAGCTAGGACTCTCCAACGACGCCTCCGTCCTGAAAAGGACTGGTTTAAGCGAAGCTGGCCGACCTAGTTAAACCCGTTGCGGAGTATCCTCTTGGGCGGGAAGGACCCGGGATTCATCAAGGAGCCCGATGGATCTAACCCCACTTCGGGGCCCCGTGGGGCCCCCCTTTTGCGGATTGGGAAAATACCAAGGTACCTGGCCGCTTTTTCCCAAAACGGTGAACCATTTAACTCCTTGGACTTATAAAATTATTACAAAAATCAAAATAAGTTTTAGCGAGACTGTTCAAATGTCATTTCACTTAATATAAATGGGTAGATATATTAGTTTGGGCTTCAATTTACACGACTCATTAACTATCCTTAATCATCATAGGCCGTTTCAAGACAAATCGATTTCAACTAATCTGCACCGAACAGATTTGTTTAAGAGGTAATAAAAAAATTAATGACTTAATTGATAGATTAAATCTAAAAATATTCCTCTTGCTGGTTTTTTAAACTTAATTACATTAATTCATGACTATATATTGAAATAGGTAATGTTTCAGAATGGCGAGTTAATCTATGAGGGTTTCTAAGCACTTGTGGTATTTTTTCTTGTAGCATCTTTATTAATCAACAAAAAGAAGACATACTTTTAATAGTTATTAATGTCTACCAGCGACTCCTGTTTATATTTTGGAAAAATTACCATTTATAATAATAAACATAGTTAAAAAATATGAGATAGAACCCATATTTTATAAATATCTTATTTCCTTTACAATTCGTCAGTAACAGAAAAGGATATTCTTTCGATTATTTTTTATTTTAAAAAGATCCGTATGAATAACACGATGATTTTCGCGTAATGCAAACGTTTAAGTTTTATTTATACGAATAGTACGAATTAACATAATACCTGAGAGCCAATTCCATTTGTCATCGAACGAAAATCCGAAAATTTTCGAATCGTTCATAAATAAAATCGTTATATTAGACAAAATCCATATCCTGTGCTTCAGAGTTAATACCTATTCCGTTGCATTATAAATTGTCGACAAATTCGTTTCTTTCGAGTCTAATAAGGCATTTCAAAAATTAATTTGTATCAATTGTAACTTACTTTTTGCGGTGTATCTAAAAGATCCCTAAGGACCGTGAGAAAGGCATCGGGCGTGAGTCTCCTTGCCACGTATTCCTCCATGTAATACGCCATCGCAGGGAGATCACTCTGCGGCAACAGTGACCGAGCCTTCTGCTCTACAGCCACTGCTGCTGCACCTCTCTTTTTACCCCAACCACTTATTCTATACAAAAAAGAAAACAGTTTAATTAAGTACGTTGCAGTAGATTAAAGTGACTTGCAAAAATAAACGATATTAGCCATCTGGAAAATAAATTTGCCTTCATAATATAAAATAGTGGTTTTGTAATGCAATTTACGCTGAAATCTCTACATGAAATGGCGGTTTGGGATATTGAAAAGATAATGTTAACCAATAGAGAATACTTCTATGAATAATATATGTAGATTGTTAATGGCGTTTGATTTGAGTTTTTGATTTATCAAACGATTATACAAAAGTCTTGATAAAAATAAGATAAAACGAAGAGCACTAGAGCAAATTTCATATAAAATTAGGCTTTTTCTCGGACATCGCTAGATAAACGAAAACAAAAGAATTGCTTATGACAAATACATGTAATAATTTCGTCATATTTTTTATCGATTACCTAGGTGCTGCATCGCGTTCGCCATAAGCTGTGCATGCATGTGGCACTTTTCCCACGTCCCGCACCAGTAGTGACATCCGCTTGTGGTATTTGAGCTGCGCCACCGCCTCGTCGTGCGTCACGTCCACAAAAGATTGCCCGTTTACTTCTAGAATCTGGTCCCCTACCTGTATAATAGATAAACAAAATAATAAGAGACTAGATCAGGGATAATAGACACGCAGACACGTCTTGAGTTATCATCTTTAATCGACAAAAATCAAAACTCAAGCGACGTGTACATATATTTTCTTTATAACCACATAAATAACCAATAGATTAGCTATCCAAGTAGCGTACTCAACGTCAGTTAATTAAATAAAACCTAGTACGAAACGTAATAAAGATTTAATTTGCTTAATCCTCTATGGTAGGATAGCGTTGTGCTCTACAATGACTTTTACTGAATACTCAAAAGCTTAGCATTCTTCTTCTTCTTCTTAACTGTAATGGCACTTTGCGTCACCACATTACTGCCAACTTCACGTAGGAGACCATTACACGATTTAAATACATTCATTCAACAAAACAATTTTGAATTCTTTCTACATAGATTTACCAAAAACAACTTAATACGTTAATACGATTTTAATACGTTAATTAAGAAATAATTTTCTATAAACAATGGTTTAAACATAATGAGTGTAACCACAGACAACTATTAAATTAATTAATTATATTTAAAAAAATGAGCGTAAGATAACACCATTTTCATAATCTTTATCAAGCACATATTTTTTTTCAGTGAGGGACGCGTCTACAATTAAAAATGTACATATATACCCTTTAGTTTTTTTAAGGAAAATTAGTATGGAGCAACAACTAATCAAAGTTTTACGAGCGGCCCACATGCTTTACATGATTGGCAGAAAATGTTGACGGTACGGTTACTCTGTGAAGGTCCTTCTACAAAGAGTAAAGAGTAAAAAGTATATATGTCCTTCTCACAAAATGTTTACGGTTAAAAACTCTGAAATAAATACACGAAGGAAGCTTACGTCGTACAAGTATACAGTTACAAAGCGGTAAGGTTTGATTGTTAGATTCTTTGCATCAAATAGGCAAAAATCGGAACTGCTGGACTGGTCCTAAAAATTGTTTCCAATACGGTAAGCTGCATCAAACGCGGGTGCCTATAATTTATGCGGCGAAGCATATAAAAGTCTCTTCCGACAAGTGAAGTGTTATTAAAGTTATAGTCAGGAACGCCAAATCAGCGAAGGTACGAGTATTATGTGAATGAAATGAATCATTCAGTCGTCACTCGTCTGAATAATACAACCCTTTCCATATTCATCATCATCAGTAGTTATAGATATTCAGTATTGACTATAACAAAATGCAGTGGATCTAATAAAGCGAATAGATAAACAGTGTTTCTGCTACCTATACAGAAAATATTATTATAATAATTCATTCAATTCTATCTAACGATAGATAATTTGTATCCGGAATTGACACGTTATTATGTTTGTCAGAAATATTGAAACAAATACTTCTGTGTTACCAGGTAAATAAAATGATTTTTGTTTCTTAAGGTATACGAACTTAATATCTGAAATATCATAATTGTCTACTTTGATTCGATACAAAGAGAAAGAAAGCAGCAAAGCAAGACGTATAAATGGCTACATACATCAAATGTACCAAAATTGGTCCCTTTGAAATAATCCAATCCAATTTGGAATATAGGATACGATACACCTTGAAAAGTTCCATTACCGAACAAAAAAAAAAGATGATAAAGTTACACAAAATCAGTACACTAAATTACCTTTCATTCAAATTATTTCATACTCTTTTTGTGTAACGAAATCACTTATAGCCATCTTTTAGCACAGTAACCTTTTAAATTAAGCTGATTAAATTATTATTTTTCGCTCAAATACCTACAACTTTTTTGCAATGGTGTAAAGTGGCGTAAGTGGCGTTTCCGAACTTAGCAAATAAGCTGTAGAGTTTATTTTATTTACAATGGACTCACTCTTGACCTCAATCTAGCGTAAGGACATAGATGAGATATACGGTAGAACGACCTTGCCCAGAAGGAACCTATTCACTCTTGCCTTAAATAGGTCTGGGTTATATGTACCCGCGAATATAGACGCCGGCATGGAGTTCCACTCCTTAGCGGTGCGCAGTAAAAAAGACGAAGGAAAGCGCTTTGTGCGGCATCTTAGGATATCAACTAAATGAGGATGGTATCCCCTCGTGCGTCTAGATTGCCGATGGTAAAAAGATGAAGGCGGAATGAGCTCATGTACAGTCTGTCTATAAAGTCATGAAAAAAATTGAGGGCGCTACGATCGTGCACGTAGCAACCCTGTGTAGTGAGACAAATGAGTTTGATAGTAGGATATTCTTTATTTATAGTAAAATAAAGCGGATATATTTTTTTACTTGTGGACGCCTTTAATTTCCACAGAAAAAGAAAAGACTTATATTTCGTAGACATACAAGATTATTCTACATTCAAAATTACAATATGGTAATCATAATTTCTGATAAATATAAGATTCGTGTGTAATAAATAAATAATCGAAAAAGATTACAACAATCTTCAGCCCTGATCTGAATATTCCTAAATGTAATCGTTGAACATGATTACATTTTAGCTTCATGCATTTTACCCATTTCTCTATGAAACTAACTATATTTCTATGGCAAATTAATGCTAACTGCCGTTCAAATAAAATGAGTGAATAAAAGTAAAAAAATAAAAACAAATGTAAAATAAAAATAAGTTTAAAATTTATTTTTTATTTTTTTAATGGTTTTTTTATTTATTAAGATATTCAAATTAAAATCTTAAATATTAAGTATCATTTTCACTATCAGATTCCAAGTACTCTACGTTCAAAAAAGTATTTTCATTATCGGCTGCATCATCATCAACGTCTTCGCTACTACTATCGGTGGTGCTGCTATCTTCGCCAAGGCGAATGACTAAGTCATCTATATCTTGATAAAGGGTTCTTCCTCGTTCATAATATTCTTTTTCAATATTTGCAACATGACTGCAACAGTTCTTCCATATTTCAGGTGTAATACTGTTGAAGGCCTCTTCAGTAAGTCGCTTCACATCGCGTGATCCAACATTGTGTTGTGCTACTTTTTGTTTAACTTGAGCCCAAATGAGCTCTATGGGATTTAAATCGCAGTGATACGGCGGAAGCCGTACCACTGTATGCCCATTTTCTTCCAAAAGTTCGTCAATAATGTAGATGGGCCGTGGTTTGTTTATTTTTTTACCAAATTCAGTAAGTTTGGCTTCCTAAGTGTAGGATCAAAGTCAATACCATTTTCCAAAAGCCAAAGTTTTATTTCATCTACGCGAGATTTTGAGGTAGGCACTTTATTTTTGACGACGGAGTGGTAAGGGGCATTGTCCATGACAATGATCGATGGCTCATGCAGGTTCGGGATAAGCTTCTCCGTGATCCACTTAGTGAAATTGTGGGCATTCATCTCAGAATGATAGTCCTCAAGCTTGTTTTGTCCACTAAATGTAAGTAGACAATTGGGCACAAATCCCTTTTCACTTCCAGCATGGACAATTATAAAACGCTTTCCTTTAGAAATATTTTCTGTAACACCTTCCACATTTAATGATTGCCAACATTTTCGAACCTGGTGAATAGAAATGGCACTTATTTATACAGAAATACATTCTATTTAAATGAAGATGAACAAAAACAGAAAAAAATACCTTATATGAAGAATGTATGTAGCTCTCGTCAAGATAAATTATATCTTTTCGCAATTCTTCTGGCAAATCTCTATTTTTTTTTATAATTGCCAAGTAGTCTTCTCGTTTTGCTGCAATGTGTGCTTGTTCGATTAAAGCCTTTCTGTTATTTTGACACTTCTTGTAAGAAAACCCAATCGATATCAGAATTTTACGCATTACTTCTAGGCTACAATCAAAATCCAGATCGGTTTTAGCAATCAACTGAAGTTTTCTTAATGTAGGTACCTCTTTTTTCACAGAGTAAAAGAACTGAATCTTTTGTCGAAGTGCACAAATGTTGAAGTTATCCATTTCTTTCTTAGGACGACCTGATCTATGTTTTCCAGGGGTTTCAAATTTGCCACCATTTTGATAGCCTTCATCTACAATACGCCTCACTGTACTCTCTGATTTTCCTGAAAGTAAGTTTTAAAAATGTAATATATTTGGCAGGAAGAATGCAATCCCCATAATGACCTAAATTAGTGCTATAAGTTTAGTGATATAAAGCACAACTTTTTATTGGCGTACGTAGGTAGAAATTGTACATTCCTAACAGGTACCTTTTTTATTCAGATTAAAAGTCAGTGGTAAATTTGACCACTCAAAAGTATTAAAAGTTCGGGTCGCACTACAATATAGCTTTCTAACATTTTCATTCTAACCTATAAATGCGTAATGTAAACAATATTTATTTTAGACTTAAATTCATATATTTAGTGAATTTGAAACTTCTGGTAAATAAAACACAATGAGTAACACGATCACATACCAGTCATAACTGCCGTTCGAGCATAAACATCCTCCAAGTTTGATAAAATTTGTCCAGCTTCTTGTTCCAATAAACATCGCTGAAAAACTTTAAAAATAATATCCCGAGCTCCACTCCGATTAGTTTTCTTCATTTTTAACACTTTCCTTCGGAGTTAAGAAGAAGTAGATTGCAGTTTAATGAAAACAAATAAAAAATACAGAAAATCGAGTCATATAATAAAGTCTTTGACAGTCGCTGTACTTTGATTCAGTGTTGTCATACTTGTATCTAGCGTTAGTTCCTCAAACATTCTTTTCATGACTTTATAGACAGACTATAGCTCGCGAACACACTCCCCGTAGTACATCCTATAAAAGTCGGACAGGTAGGCGACGACGGCGATGGCTCAGACTGGTTTTCAGGATTAAAACAATTTTACTGTGTATACGTCATAATTGGTTGAAACAATATTACTTTAATTATTATGTTTGATTAATTTTGCATTCACAATGCTATACTGGAAAATATTCTTCATGAAAAATGCTGAAAAAAATCTTCTTGCTGCAAGTACTCTGAGATGGGACCAGAATACCTGAGATAAGTGGATTTCTTTCATGAGGAATAATATTAATTTAAGCTTGAAACATGACGTTATTTAAAAGTCGATGGTAGGCTTCCAGAACACTTGAAGTGTTGTATACGATGAAAGTTTTAAAATGTTAAGTAACGAGTTTCGGATGTGGCGTGCGGTAGGCGGGCCAGTCTAGAACTCAAACACTATAAATTTCCCCGCACACCTCCGCCGCGAGCACTGTTCAACATGAAATACTATTTTGCATACTTCCTTATATTGGAAACGTACAGTCGGCAAAAAAAATATGCTCCATCACTAGGGTGCATCGCGGAAGGCGTAACCTGTAGATGGTTACGGTTCATTTGAACGTTATGAAACAATAAGTTCGATTACCCTTTTCACTATATTATTATTGGCAGTGATCATTTCTTTAATTCCCAATAACAAACAATATGTCATATTTAAGCATCGTAATTTATAAAAACGTCAACCTTAGGGATATTTAGATCTTACAGAAACTTGTGTCGAAACTGCTAGACCAGTTTCTAGGCTGACCGTACAGCCAACAAGAACATTTATATCTAGTCTCTATCAAACTTATAGCAATTCTCCTGTAGCTTTCAACTAACTAATTAAAACTAATTTATTGATGCATGATTAATTTCATGTTCGTTAATTATAATAGACGTCTAATTTTTACGGAAATAATTATCAAGTACTAACTATTTCTGTTTGAAAGCTGGAACAATTTAATTTCAAGTACAAGAAGTAGGTCATCGCAATAGGAAGTTTAGAGAGCAATGTAGCATACTACATATAGTTTAAAGTTTGTTTTGTTCATCTCATCTTTCGTGCATTATTTGATGAAAATAATTTAGATTATTAGTAAAAGGGCATTTAAGGCATGGAAAATATACCAAATAAGTTTGCTGAAGAACGCTATAATTATAATTTCATTGATGATCATTGGAACTATCATTAATAATTAAAATACGTATATTTACTTTAGGAGCTAGACGATCTGCCGTACGGTTGTTATACTACCTTCAAAAAGGTCAGTCATCGGGTGGGTGTCTAGAAACGTATTATAACGAGCTCCTCCGTGCTTCGGAATGCACGTCAAGCCGTTGGTCCCGGCTATATATGCATTCGTTAACACCCACTAATCCTCACTGGGCCCGCGTTAGGTTATGGCCCATTCTTCCTATTGGATTTGATTTGTTTCCATTCATAGAGAAGGCGTGAGGCTCAGCAATAGGGAAAATAAAAGGATGTTGATGATGAAAGTATTATAGTACAGTAGCTAATGACAATTAAATACAAGGAATTGATGCCCAAGAGAGGTTCAAATATAATATCCGTATAGTATTTCATCAACTTCAAATATTTTAAGAAAAATACTAGCAAATAGTAGAAAATTACATCTAACAAGCTTCATAAGTATGCATAATGCGGTAGTGTAATTAAAGAGTATTAAGAAAATTTTATATTAGATTCTGTATGGTGACGAGACAGTTTCCAGTGCATGTAGCACGACGAACTCGAGAGACTCATCAAACGTGCTAGAGCGAAACCGAGAAGATATTGTATGGGAACTTCTCGTTCTGAACCGTTTCTCGGGTCTCTCGAGCTTTACACGGATTTTTATTTTATTATTAAGTTTATTTATTTTAAGTATTTAATGATTAGGTATCTAATAAGCAAATACAGAATCGGTTACAAATATCTATTATTTTGTGATTATGCGGTGTTATAAAAAAATAAACTTATTGTGTTCTGTTAATGATTATCAAAGACAAATATAGATAAATCATCACTACACATATTTATTTAATTTGTGATATAGAAATTAATTATACTATAGAGTTACGAGTAAACGGAGTAGGGGATGCCGTTAAGAGCTATGGAAGATTGCTGGCACTTATCCAAGTAGGTAGGTACACTTTAGCTAGAATTCGGGTTTGGCCACTAGATTCTGTGAGTTTTATCTCTATCTTATTATCAAACAATAATATTTTATTCAGAATATTTTATCTATCTACAAAAATTGCATATATGAATAACCTTGTGTTATCAAAATCCGTGAAATAGTGGGGAAATATTGGGGATGTATCCTAATCAATCAATGGATTTAATTTTTTTTAATTAATCACTCGCAAATATTCCAATTGTTGTAGAAGTATTGCATAGTTTCCTCGATTACAAAGTGATTCACATATTTATAAATTTTCTGTTAATTAAGGATATAATTACAAAAAATGGCAAAATAGTCAATTTAAAGGATAACCTAACTTAACTTTGTAATATTTTCTATAGTTTTGTTTGCATAAAGAATTTATGCTTTTAAGTTGTGATAGACTCTTTACAAAATAATAATTTCTTTTCACAAAACTATTTAATAGTTACTTCGTGATTTCGATTAAGTTTTTTTTATCTTTAATATTTTTGGGGCTTTTGTCATTAAAGCACGACAGCCTCATCGATACAAAATAAATACTTACATACTATTTAGTTTTCTAATTCTATCTGAGTAGATTTGTGAAGGCATTGCTCCACCAAACTACATAGGCACAGGGTAATATCGGAACTAGGGTTACTCAGTATACTCTGAATGATTCCTATGTCCAGCTTATTAACTTTAAATTTGTTTAAAAACAACTCTCTTTCTGTTTTGTTCCGTTCACATTCCATCAGGAGATGAGTAACATCCTCGATCTGTTTACATACTTCGCAATTAGGCGAGGTTGCTTTTTTCATCATAAATGAAAATTTCCCAGATGGAATTCGATTAAGTTTATATTAAAAATATATAACTTAACTTAATATATAGAGTAATACAAGAAGAAGGTTTGTATGTTTAATACGAGACCAAGCCAACGAAGCCGCTGGCAGAAAGCTAGCACAATATAAACCTATTTACAATTATATATAATACTAACTATGCACTGACAGAACTCTAACTAACTAGAAAGATAAATAGGATTTTAAGGTTCATCAATCAATACTATAATACATTGTTCTGCTTCGTCTCTATTTGACATATTTTTTATTTTTTCCTCCAATAGAATGCTTTAACTTCACTGCTTATGAATAACCTATATTTTTATTCGAAACTTTCAGCGGAAACAGCCACAACTGAGCGTTGCTGGATGTTGCGAGTTAATAAATAAACTCGATCATAACTAAATACACATGTATGACTGCGGCATAGGAAACCCACTTTGGATTGCGAGTTAAATAATTGAATGATTAAAAAACAGTGATTATATTAATTTTAAATACAACCAAAGACTTCTTTGTTTAATAAGGTGTAATATAATAGTAATCGACAAATAAATAGTTCCAACTCACTAATATTAGTAAGGCGATGTTTGTAGGTATGTTCACGCAAAAACTACAGAACGGATTTTGATGAAATTTGGTATACAGATAATTCTTAGCTTGGATTAATATATAAGCTGCTTTCTATCACAACTTAACTAATAAATTATATAATATCCGTGTTAATATCATCTACTTATGTTGTTACATGTAAATTTACTTTGTTTTGTATTTCGTATTACAGATATTTACTAAAAACATATTTCTCATCCGTACAACATTAAAAATAAACGAGATCATCTGCGTTTTCTCCCTTGGGCAATACTTCTTCTATTCATGTAAAGTAGTCGTAATTCCAAAGGCGTCAGTATAAAGAGATAATCTCTCGGGTCGTCCAGAATCATAAACTTTTACCGAAACATATTTATAGTCGCATAAATTATCTGTACTCACGGTGATATTTCTATTTTATTTGCTCTTTTATAGGTATACTCGACTTACCTTACCTTAAGATTATTTCATCGACATTTTTATATATCTTCAAATAAATAAATGAAGACAATTTAAATGTTCATATTTTGTAATAAAATACATTGTGAAATTATATTGATATAAAATTTCGTTTAACCCGTTTCATATTTGGCAAGGTTTCAACGAAAATAAAATAATTGACAGTAAACAAGTATATTAGAAGATTTACTATTTAATTAATACGATACTTGTTCTGTAAAATTACGAATTGCAATTGAGTTATGAGCAGATGCAACCGCAAGCTAATCGAGTTAGTAAGTATACATGTTCTAGTATGAAAATTAAATTTATTAAAACGTCTTCTTACCATAAGGCCGGCTCTGTCCGCGACTGAATCCTTGTCTACACCGGTGATGTAGATGCCGAGGTTATATTCCAAGCCGCCCCTGATCATCAATCCTAAGGATTGGCCGGGCTCGATGCACAAATCCACCTTGATAAAATATCAAACTATAAGTATTTATATTAAAAAAACAGCGCGTTTATTTCCAGATAGCCTTTAAACATTTCTAGTTTTCATTTTGAATGAATTTGCCAATAACATACATTTTGAATACGAGAAGCTTGTTTTTTTTCCTCTTAATTTTTTTATTTCTCTCTCTCCATAAAACTTTTTTGAAAACCGCGTCCAAATCGGTTCAGCCTTATTCGAGATAATCGCGCACAAACATATCAAACTGCGAACCTCCTTTTTTGAAGTCAGTTAAAAAGAATGCCCAATGCTCTTGAGTATATCAACTCATTTAGAGATTTCATGTTTAAATACAGACTTTATCTTTTTTTTTCCCTACATAATCTTCTTATCTCATCGAGAGCGTTTAATCTCAATCTATTAACAAATTAGTGTCGTATAAAAGAACAAGGACATTACACACTATATTGGCAAAGAAAATAAAGTGTAATGTGAAATAACGACTTAGGTCGACTTTTCTCGTCTAAAAGGAGGACATCTCAAGGGAAAGCCCGAGAGCGCCTCGAGTCTGTATGAACAATGCGATGAGAGTATATGAGCAAAAGAAATTGCAAGGATCACGGCAAGTGGAAAAGGGATTATCTGTGTACTCATATGGAGGTCAGACTTACATAAACCTACATAAGAACATTATTCTTGTCAAATGTCCTAATTTATATATGTTTGTTATCTATGGCTTTCTATTTATCTCTCTACACTAGACGACACAACGTGATAAGACAATTATAAAAGATAAAAACCAATACCAAAAATAGCAATTACAATTGTATGTCGTTGTAATTGCTGGACATTTCATTCATTCACAATAAAGTTTATTATGGCTCGTGACGTCACGATCGATGGTGAAGCCAGTGAACTCATTACGACCACTAACGGCGGAGCTTAGTGGCCAGTGGACAACGATTAGCATACCGCCCGCCCTCGACCCACCCTCGTCCGCTATGCATTCGCATATTTACGACCGGAAAATTACAGCATAAAAATTTATGATCAAGTAAAAAAATTTACCGCTGATAACAGAGCAGCAACAGTCCTCAGATGAATAAATACGGAATCTGTAACGTTTTTTGCCTTTTATCCACTTTGTGTTTTACAAACACACGATGAATGTTAGGAATATTAGCCGTTGTACTAAAAACTGGTTGTAATTGATGATCTTTTCACGAAATCTATTATAAGTACTGTGGCTTCACGTTATCCCTTGCGGATTAAGCAGAAATGATCGAGCGCGTCAAGGCACGGTCTTATTTTTTGTCTTTTGTAATTATTATCATTATCAGTTGAGATAATTCATATATCCATCCTTATCCACATTTTTTCTACCAACATTTGTTAAGAAATGTTATATATAGTCCGTTTCACATAGAATGCGTACGGTGACGTATGTTAAAAAATCCATTTCACGCAATTCTTATTTCCAAACAATTAAAAACCATCATTATAAAAAAGAGTTTGCCTGTGTATATATTAGATATTTATTTAAATTTACATATTCAAACACGAATACATTTTTATTAGTCATAATTACTGAAATCTAACCCTCTAAAGTTTTTAGTATTAATATTTGTAACAAAAATTTAAACCTTTTTTAATAGGGATCGAATCAATAAAATCGTTTTAATAGAAATATGTATACGGTAATCATTTGTGAATAATTTAAGTATATTAAATTCAACTTAAATAAAATTCAGTATTTTTTCTGGCACGGGTAATATTTTTTTTTTGCGAAAGTTTGCTTTAAACAACTCAATAGTAATTCATGTCCTCAAAACCACGCGTATGAAATCGCGGGCAACATCTATTGTTACAATGTAATTAGTAAGCTTACCCTTCGCACCGATCTATCTTTGCTGGCTGACCGCGGGGGCCGCAGCGGCGGTGGTGACGCCGGCCTCCCGTACCTGTCCATCCAAGAACAGGAGGCCCGACCGACCAACGCACCCGCTGTACGCACCGTCATCGTTAGCTGTCGGCAAGACTTCAACATCTGCTAACAAAATCATTTTATCAAAGAATTGTTATTGCAAAGAATCTTATTTCATATTTCATATGACGTTATAAAGTCTTAAAATAAAATCAGGATAAAAATTGTGAGGTTGATAAATATTTTCAAAAGTTACCCTTATTCGATTTGGACCCTACAATGACGGTTCGCTGCTCTACCCTAATGCGATTCGGACCCTACAATGACGTTTGCTCCGTTCCGTTTTATCTACTACGGAAATATATTCTTTCGTCATTAGGTTAAAAAGTGCACATTAACAATTACATCGACATTTACCAGTCAAACTACAAAAATCTTTTATTTGAATGCATTAATTTTTAAAATAGCTTCACAATTATCTCGAGTTTATGACGAATCTCCCTGGCCTCCAGATGAAAAGATGCTTAGATATTATTATATTTTATGTAAAAACTCATTTCAATTATCACTACTGATAGGTTGACACGATCTTTAAAAAAAACAGGTGAGGGGTCAATCAATGTATGGAAAGTGGACATGATTCTTTAGATTAAAACACAACACAAATAGATCGGAAAAATTAAACGTATGAAATGGATATTGAAAAAGGAAAAATAAAACTCCCTGTTTTTTGAGTAGAAGCTTTATTATCGTTCAGTTAATTTTTTATGATATTCAGAATTTAAATTTAAATTTTATTCAAGCAACAAAAATGAGCCCAGTCAAGCAAAAACTGTTCTAAGCCGGTTAGAATTTCCTTTAACAGTCCTCCATCACCATTGTACCTATAATATCATAAATCGGCATTTGAACAAAATTACATGTATAAAGGAGGATATATATTTTGCAATAAAATAAAACCATACAAACGTACCACTAGATATTCAGAGGTAAAAACGAGTATATTTGTTGCTTTCTCTTTAAAAGTTATTGAAAAAACCGACAATGTGCGAGTTGGATTTACACACGAAGGATTCCGTACCAAAAAACGCAAAAATCTATATATATTTTATTTTGTGGTTTAGTATTTCTTGTTCTAACGGCAACAGAAATATATCTGTGAGAATTCCAACTGGTTAGTTAGACAGATAACTATTATATTATCCAGTTCCACTTATATTGGTTCATTGTCGACTTACAACCAAAAAATATGTTATTTAACGGTAAATATTACTATACATTCTTTACCAGTAGTAGTTATTTAAATTTTTAACACAAAAAATACTTTAGCTTGGCACACTGAAATGCAAAATAAACCTATTTGCATTTTAAGCACATTTTCGGCCCGAAAGTTCCAATATTCTAGCGAACAAAACTACTCAAACATTTATTAAAATTTAACAATGTATTGAAAATTTATTATTTTACATTTTTGTAACGTTTGATTAAATATGTTCAATATTAACTTCAATTTACTTTACTGTAATTTAAAAACTTACATTATTCCAGACATAGAAATAACCAATACAACAATAGAAGATTTATTAAATAAAAATTATAGCTTCTCTACAAAGCTTCTATAGAATTACATAAAAACAATAATTTTCCACACATATTTTATTTATATCAAAATAATTCTATTTTGTTAGGTAAATAATATTTGTACATAAGAATACAAATAATTTAAATTTATTTTTTTATACAATCTTTTTTTTTGATATTATATTGAACTAGAAATCTTGTACAGAACAGATAAATCAAACGAGTCCAATGTTGACGAGGTTGATCATGATCATACCCCGTCAAGATTAGTAGTAGGCAATATCTCAAAGTTAAGTCTTTGTCAAGAGAAATCAAACGAGCCCAAACACGATGGGATCGCATGGTTTAATTACAGGGGTCCATGGCGACCTTCTGCATCTATTATCAAATCAATTCTATTTCATATTTCATTGTTATCCAATGTCAAAACATACAAAAATATACTAAATTTGAAGTTAATTAATAACCGAGAAGTGAAGTTGACCCACAATAACTAACACAAAAAGTTACAACCAGACATTAAGTAACATAATCAGATGTAATATTAAAGAAGAAAATCCATTATTGTCCTATTAAAAGTGAACAAAAAAGTGTATATACATTAAATATCTGGGGTCAGGCAGTAAATCAGTCGGTATCGCGGCTGCGGAAGGAAACGTCTGAGACTCGCTACGAAACTAGTGCGATATTCACCTGTCCAACCAAACTAAAAGTAGAGAAGTATGTACAATTGTTACAGGATCACGGTTATATTTTAAGATATGATGTCATCTTTTTTATTTGTAATTATTAAAAAAAAATTAAGTGTACTCAATAGGGGAGCGCCCGAGTGCGCTATAAAAAAAATTAAAACGCGGGAGCGCAACTCGAACAATTGTGCCAATTGTGCTGTACCACACTTTAAAGTAAAGTAAACCAAGATTTTCTAAATATAATATATTTTGGATTGTCATTTGTATTCGAAGAAAAATAGTTATAATCCTTTATGCTAACAAATAATAGTTTAATACTGATATTTATATTCGCAATTGTAATTCAATAGGACTAAACCTAAATTTAGTCTTATCTGCGCAATATTATTGCTACCACTGTCTGTGTGGATGCAAGGAACGATATTCAAACTCAGTGGTCAGACGTAGACTAGTATATTCACTTGTTTGTACACTCTTATCTTATTCCAATATAAAATAATTCAATATTTGAATATACAAGATATCAATCCCCCTAGGCATCTCTTAAAAATTCAAGGTTTCTATGCCTTGCAGTTTAATCGTTTTTATTTATTAGTATTAACTTAAGTACACAAATATTTATTATTATTTTCTTTGTTACGGGGTGGCATCAGAGAACTACAATATCCCATAAAAAGACAGTATTCCGCGGAAATTATATACAGTTCTAAGGACAACATATCGTTATTTCAATATTCTATCATCGCTTTCATTATATCTGTGTTTTTGCTGTATTCATGCTTTTTTTCACCTGCCCTTGTGAATACGCTGTAGCGAACATCATTATGCGTATATATAAACCATTACAGATAAGAAATAAATATTTAACCAATATCTAAATCGATCGAACTATTTAAGAGATGAAAATAGTCGTTTGCTACAAAATATTTACCGAACGAATACAAATCACTCACTGAATAGTACAGTGGCACAACTCAAAAACCATTCTTTCGAGAAAACGCCACAACATTGTGGTGGCATCCCATAGATAATTTAAAGAAAAAATAAAAAACTTAACAGTAATAATATAATACAAACGATTTAACTGTTATGCTAAAAAAAAAATAATTTTCATAATTATTAATATATAAAATTTTCATAACTTCGGAGAGCGTTTCTCGAAATATAGTTTTTGAGTTGTGCCACTGTACTATTCTGTGAGCGAAATAAGGTTCAAATTGATTCAAATTATAATATATTCCTACGAACTATTCTATAAGTATGTGGAATAATGGAATGGAATAAATAGAAACAATAAATACAGTCTGCCAATAGAAAGAAACACTGAGACTAATCCAAACTTTGTGATTGTTCTTCTGATGCGATAGACAAACTTTTACTATCGATACAACTATATAAAATTGATCATAACTACGTGAAAACTTATAAACGCAACCTACTAATAAAATTGAATAAAAATTCCTACATTGATTTTACTTCAGTAAGTACGAGTAATTTGGCTGAACCGATTTTGATGAGGTTTTCAGCACAGTATTTGACAGGCTTAGGAGAAAATTTAGGTATTAACTGACAAAAAAATGGAGATTCGCACTTTTAACACGTGTTGTATATATTGTCCGCGATTATCTCTTGTTTGGCTTAACCGATTTTGTCACGGTTTTTAGAAAAGTATTTTTAGTGTTACCTATTATATAAAATATATAAATATCACTAAAAAGCATGAAATTAAAAACTTTTATAAATAGAACCAAGTTCAAACTTAAAAAAGTGAAAATTAATACTTATCTCAACAGCGACTTCTTATTCAAGAAAATGCTATTCAAGTCGGGTAAAACAGAAAACCTCCACTCAACTTGAATAGCATTTTCTTGAATAAGTCGCTTTTGAGATAAGTATTATTTTTCACTTTTATTAAGTTTTCTTTGCTTGACAAACAAAGCACAATTTTAATGAATATTTGTAATAAACCAAGCCCATGCTAAATTCTGCTTTTATTATAGGTTACCACGGCATACAACTACTTAAGAACGTCTAGACCGATATTTCTTTTAATTTCAGTGAGAGCCCTTGATCACTATATCTAACACTTATAAAATGACAATATTATAGGAAAGATTTGATTGTTTCTTTGTTTTTTTGCTCAACAAGGCTCTGAAACTGATTTCAAAAATTCTTTCATCTACGGGAAGCTACATCATACGCGGGTGTTGGCTATTTTACGCATATATAAAATCGCGGGAACAGCAAGTACCTAATTGATAATTAAATAAAAAAACATTTCTGTGACATTAACCTCACAAATATGAAGGGAAGGGCGCGACCGACCGACCGCAGAGAAACACGACACGTGCTATTAGAAACACTAAATACTATTACAATTTATATAATGATTACTTTGTTTCTTTGTAACTATGGCAACAAATACTGTGTTTAATGCCCATAACATAGTTATACTGCGGGGAATCTGTTAAAGTAATGTATTACCATCATATCGGACTATATAATCCGATATTTCAACAATAGTTTTTAAATAGAGTTCCTGTCACAGAAATAATTAGTCTATTCGAAGTTTTCGTGCTTTCATTATGAGCCCAAAGCAGTATCCCTGTGCTTAGTATGTTTAACCGATAGAGCCATTATGTAATCAACTGAGGATTATTTAAAAAATATTGATACAGAAAGTACTGGCGAGTTTAGTATATATAAATTTTCTGAATACGTTGTTGAAAAAAAGTAATTAATAATATACAGTTTATTATTATATGTATATGTGACCAAAAATTTGCCATTATTATAATACGCTAGAGATCTTAAGTTTAAGGCTTCTGCGTCAAATAAAATGATTAGCTTTTATA